CCTATCCTTCGACAATGTACCCCTCTAGCTTCGAATAAGCTGCGAGTATTCGGCCCAACTCCTACTAGACACAGTGATAATGGAATTTTGTTACAATGTGAGTGAGCCTTCCAAATAAACGAACTAGAAAGGTAACATCTTGGCAGCTCCTATAGATGTGAAGTGTAGCTGAAAATTCGTGGTTTCCTAGTCCCACTATGGTGACCGTTTTAATGTTGTATGTTTTGAAAACGGCGTAACATGCAGGGTTGCTGCCACTCATTTGCAATAAAAAACTGTTTTTCGGAGTTATGAAAACATTAGACGTCGTAATGATAATTAATACTTGTAAGTTAGAGGAAGAGGTTAAAAAGTATGTGTTTGACACATAAAACCTGTCAAAGTTAGCGCTCACTCTGAGTGAACATTATTCCAGATACGAATTCGGCCACTTGAGCAGCGCTGTTCCTTACCTATGTGCTTGACATTTTTGACGGATCTCAATAGATTTTGATAAAGCATCTAACAACGATAGCAAGCATTTGTATGTGTAAGTACCCATTTTCCATGAGAAACTGGCAATTTTTACGTGAAGAGACGGCGCCGTCAATACTAAAATCCTGATTGAAAATAAATCTTCAAAAAATATATTATTTCAAGTTCCATCTTCCCAGTGGGCGCCGCCGAGATGTTCTGAGGCATAAGATCTCTGATCACGTTTTCCTTCGGAAGGGAAGTAAATCCGTTGGTTCCCAGTTCATGAGTTGATGGGTCGATTGGTAGGGTCCAGGTGTGGGAGTTCCCTCCCTGGTGCCGGTAGCATTGGTGCTCAGCACGGAAAACAAACCAAGGAAAAAACATCCCATCTTCTATAACTTTGATAGGGTTTTTGATCTGATTTCCGACCTACTAAGCACAATTCGCACTTTACCTCTCTTTTTTGAACGAGTTTAAACAAAAAATTGAATATTTCTGACAAAAATGACTGCTAAATTTATTCTTCGTCCTACGTCCTAAAACGTCCTTCGTCCCATTTCCGGCCTATTAAGCACCACCCGCGCTTAGTCTTTCTTAATCTAGCGCAGTTTTGCACCAAATGGAATCTTACTATTACTGATGGCTTCCAAATTTATTTACCTTTCCGTATGTACCGTCAGATTTGATAAAAGGAAACCAATCGTTGAGATATTGTCAAAAGTCTAGCACTGCTTCTTGACGCCAAACTCGGCCTACGGATTCTAAACTCGGCCTAACGCATTGAAATGCCATTGAAAGGCCAATGAATTCACTTCGGTCTATCGGATAAAGATAAAAATTGATTCGTTCGGAGCGCTTCTTTTGTTTTTGGGAATAATGGGTGCAAACTTTCATATCACGCGTTCTCATTGACTTCGTTCCGTAGCTTATTAATTAAAGAATCGAACCAAACGCATAATTGATTTGTTTACTCTGAAATCATGGATTTATTTGAAGTTTTCTGCTCGATAGGCCCAAAATGGGCTATTAGGCCAAAGTACCCAAGTAGCCACCAAGCCCGCTAACTACCCGGGGTTTATAGTTTATTCAATATTTAATTATTGTTGTTCAAAATTTCGTTTTTTCTCAGTTCAAGCCCATTTTGACATTGGTCCTCATTCCAGTTCTATCTAGAACTAAAAAAAACCAGTTGACTACAGTTAGCTGGATCGTATCACCTTAAACATTTCCTTCAAAACACAACGGTTGTCTTGATCAAGGGAATGTTCCATGTCAAAATTCAAACTCATCCAGGCAGTTGATTTATCTTTAAAGGTTGACTTGAGATTCACCTAATTTTAGTGAAGAAGGATTTAGTGTTATCAATACCATCCATAGAAATAGTGTTTTAGCAGACTTATCTTATTGTTCGATTTGAATCGTAATTAATACTTTGTTTTAGCTTTTCAGCATCAATGCTTCCTGGAACAATTTCTGAAATGCTTCTTAGACATCCAATAACTGCTAACGATTCGTAAATACTTACCTTCCAGCTGAATCTTACACTGACACGGCGCGCTGTTTGCTACGATGACAAGTTCTCCAAAAAAAAAATAACCTACGAATCATCTCCCCCTTTCCACACGTAACCGCGTGGCGCAGGGCGAACAAAAACCTCCTCCATCATCATTAAAATGGCGACAGAGTTTCAATGATGCCACTACTCTACCTACGGGAGGTACCTATGTGTGTGACAGTGGCGGTGACTGTGACAATGACGACACCCGTGTGTGCCGTTGGCAATGACAAACGCGGGGAGACACACCAATACTATGCACACGCACTTTTTGTTGGAAGCATAAATTCAAGTTGCCGACGGTAGATTTCGCGCTCTCCAACCAACCAGACCCATACACACAGACACAAACTCACAGCAAGCCATGTGTTGTAGCGCGACATGGTTTCCATGGCTACCTTACACCCACCCGAAACCATCACATCACATCCCCCGGTGAAAATCTTCCATCACCACCGGATGGGGAGCAGTGGAAGAATGAGAACGACGGCGACGACGACGACGACGCTGATCATGACGATGATGATGATGATGATAGGGACACACAAAACACAGCATCCTGTGAAAGGACGCCGACTACGATGATGACGATGACGTGACGGTGGGTGGAAACCGGCGGAAGCGCAGGTACTCAGGGCTCTCTTCTGCTCTTGCCGGGTGGATCTTCCCGAATTTCCCGGAGCTCTGCGCTTGCTTCGCTGTGTTGGTGGCGCTGTTTTGCAAACTGTGTAGTGGAATGTATACAAAATCGAGGAAAATCTATTACCGTCTGCCATTTAAAACCAACACCAACATCGGAGCCAAAACAAGCGCAGATGGGAAAGTTTTTAAAGGGCATTCTCTTGTCTTCTTTTTCTTCTTCCGCTATTGTCGGCCCTCACAGGAATGTGAGAAATCAAAGGTAGCTGGGTGTTTTTGTTTTCATCATAAATATTTTTAATAAAATTGGTTTTTCTTGTTGCCTTTTCGTGTATAATAATTATAATAGAATAATAATAACTCTAATAATTAATTACTTAGCTTAATCTTTTTTTCTCTGTGTGTGTTTCCTTGTCACATTTTTGTTTCCACTAAATCAATAAACATAATCTTTGCAGTGATGAATCAAATAATTTCATAATAAAGTCCTGACCCTGGCTAGGGCGCTATATTTTTATTCGGAACGAATTATCTGGAATGTTGAGTAATTTGTTTCATTGGAATGCTTGCAATGTTGTTACTGTGAATAAGGTATTTGATTTTGTTTCCAGTCTAACTTTCGCTAGTTAGTACCAATTTTGATTGAACGAAACTAAGTTACGCAAAAACACAAAAAAAACACTAATAAGTTCAATGAGAAAATTCTTGAACCTTTACTTGCAACGAAAACGGAAAGTGAACTGAGCGAAAACGGCTTTCTACAAATATTTACAGTCGACAAACTCATAAGAGGTTTGTTACAATTTCTTTGTATTTTTTTTTTCTTCTCCAAACATTATCATGGATTGGTTGTTTTGTTCACTTCTACACTTATTATTCTGCTTTATACGGGATTCTTTATTTCTCAGTAATAAAGTGTAATGTACTGGTTCTTCTTACTTACATTTGCGCATGACTTCATTGTATGTCTTTTGTTTTACTTAAACTCTTATTAAGTTTAATCATGTTTCACGATTTCACAATTAACTAATCGTAGAATTATAAGCTTGTTTCTTGTCTAAACTTTGTTGTCGTTCTCGTTTATTTGCTTTCTACACATTAAATAACAAAAATAAGATCTCGCTTTTACATTTAGCTTTTGATTCGAAACGTCGTAACACATAAGAAAGAAGAGTTAAGTCAATGTCTGTTGCTATTTTTCGCTTGCATGCTTTTGCATGGACGCGTGAAAACAAAAGCAAAATTAATGTTCGTTCTTTTTGACTAAAACGTAACAGAACCAAAACAAACAAAATTGTCCAGAAGCTGATTGGAATGGTTTGATTCTTAACTAACACACATCAACGCTAGACCTTACAAGGTGATGTGGCTTGGTTTACTGGCCCGAAATGAGAAGAAAACGGAAATCTTACAGCACGCAAAAAAAAGAGGAACGATTTCTATGATCTTAAATGTTCAATAGTTTTACCCTGTGTTTTATCATGTTTTTTTTTTTAACCTATTTGTTTAGATTTTTCCGTAATTTTTGCTTCCTCGTATATAATGTGTTACACATAAATCATCGCAAATTAACGACAAACTTGGAATGATGGGATTTTTTGATAAAACTGAACTAAATTGAAGCAAAAACTGAACTCGAGACTGTTTTCCAAAAGGTCCACGCAGCTTTTGTTGATACCCATTTGAATAGGATGATTTCTACCGCTACTTGAAACAATTTCAATGCATCAATATTGCAGTACGAGAATGCAACACTCAAACGGATCGTCGACAAAAGCTGATAGGATCTTCTTAAAATAGCATAGCAAAATTCAATAAATGGAATAGTTGCGTTTCCGTGGCCACGGCGGCAGGTACATGCAAATCAACAATTAACCCAACAGAAGGCGAAATTCGAGCAACAGTCTCAATTAAAAAGAAATCATCCTCCGTCCGTGAGTGGACGTGTGGCAAAAAATACAGAAAATTTAACGGCAATGCCCACCTAAGGAGGAAGATACACCTGCCATCACGGTGCCAACAACAGTGCTGCCAACGCGGAAAATTAGGTGACCGCTAAAGACGCTAAAATAAGTACTACGATCACGCTCTCACACACAAACACATTCACCTTGCCGCGGCGGAATGGCTCCAACGAATGAACATGAACAGCAATCAAGTGGGAAAAGTAAGGTTCTTCTCGTGAGGTACAAAACAATGCGGAATTTTATTTGGAATGTTTGCTGGATTTTTGCTTTTTATTGGGAAATTCTCCTCCATCGAGTGGTACTTACACAAGTTCCATTATACAAATATTGGTATTCTAAGTTCTTGTAATTGTTTCGTACACTTTTTTCAGTATTTTTTTATATTTTCCAGATGCTTCTATACAATGGCCTAGTGCTTGCATTATATTCCATTCTCACATGGTTTATTACAAATATTTTCTTGTTTATTTATCGTCCCTCTTTAAGATTCGGTATACAGCTGTGGACATTTGTATTCGAGATTGCAACTTAAGCCATAGTGCCGAAAATAAAAATTCCTCATCGAAAACCAATTCACCGGGATGATGTTTCTTCCCCGAACGAAAAGAAAAAATTAACTACATTCTCAGTCCGGAAATACCCGACTAAGCCGTGTCAGGTACGACGTCACTAAACATTGTTTGGACAGCAATTCAAACGACTGATGGGAAAATCCTTGAAATGCGCTAGGAAGACACAGAAAAGGCTATCAATATCCCTGCCCCTTGTTGACCCAGTAAATTTGGGACCCACCAGCATAGGCCCTGCAGCAAACGAAAAACAAAACAAAAATCAAGCTCCAGATGGGAACTCCAGTTGCGACTTTGGCCCCGTGAAGGTGTGAAAGTAACAAAGGAAAGGGCAGAGAGAAAGCAATCATCACTAATCGGCCTGCCGTCGGTCGGGGCTCCGGTCGTAAAAGGATACTACCGGAATTTCCTGTACAGGAAATTTCCCGCACGAGACACAGAAATGAACAGAAAACTACTTTAAGAAGGAAAAGAACGAAACAAAGAAGGCACAGAGCGATACTTCAAAAATTTACGACACCATTACCTCCGCTGAGCCTTGGGTTATTCCCAAAGGTTTGCCGCAGAACAATTTTACGAATATTTCTCACTTCTACTAGCTAAGCAGCTGGTAAAAATTCCAGCTGCAAGGCTGTTCACTAGAAAGCTTAATTTTGTATTTTATTTTTCAACACCGTCGCTTGCTTAGTCGCTTTACTACGCTGTCACACGGCAGGCCATCGCTTGAATTCAGCCATTCGTTGGGCTTATCATCACTTTCCTCTCGAACTAAAAGGGCAAATGTACTTACAGTTGAACTGGTTTTCACTGACGGAACGTTTATTTGGAGCGACTTTTGTTGCTTTCTCATTAATACAAACAATTTTCACGTGTTTGCGTTTTTCTTCGTGTTACATTTTACTCGTTACATATCACTAGAACATCTCTGGTTTTGCTCATGAAATTTCGCTTCATTCATTTCTATCTAGCTCTTGTTGTTTGTTTTGTATTATTATTTTTTTTTTTTTTTTCGTTATCTCATATATAAATTCTACTTTCTTTCATACTATGTTCATTTCTGGTTTTCTTACGCCATACTGATTATATTAAACTTACTTCGTTACTCTTCATATTCTCCTATGTACAGGTAAACACAGTTTCGATCGGATTCTCACCAATTGTATTATTTAAGTCACCACTTTTTGCTTGTTTTTTTAGAGTTTAAACTTTGATTTAAACAATTCATTTAAAGGGCATCTATTTATTTTACTAGCTTGCTTGTGTTATTGGTTTTGTGTGTTTAAGTTGCCGTTTGTTGGGATGTTGTTGTGGGAATGTGTTGGTTTTCACAAAGGTTGATCCAACTTGTTCCAAGTTGGCATTTTTTTTTTTTTTAGTTGAGATATCGTGCACCAGTTGCTGTTCCGGATGGTCCGAACTGCAGAGTCCATTCTTGAAATATTCGCCTAGCATGCATCTGCTGCTGCTGTTGGTGATGCCGGTGATCTATGTACATTTGCGCGGCAGCAGCGGCCGCCACCGACGACGAAGGTGACGCTCCTGAGGCGGCTGCTGAAACTCCAGCAGCCGTTGTAGATGACGACGACGTCGAAGACGGTGGCGAAGAGGTATTTGTGGTGGTCGATGCTAAGCTATAGCTATTCCCATGGTTGGAGGAGACGGCAATGGCGGCATGAGGCTGCATAATTGCATGATGATGGTGGTGTATTGGTTGAAATGCCGCCGGGTTATTGCTGGACTCCTGGTGCTCTGATTGCTAGTGGGCCGTAAGCTGATGGTGCCCTCCACCGCCCATACTCTGAGGGCTGAGCATGGGTGGACTGTGGCTGTGACTGTGGGTTCCCATCGGGCTACCGTGCATGTCGTGATGTGGATGATAGCCATGGCCACCGTGGCCCATGTGTCCAGGTGGCATTCCATCCATCATATCACCACCCATCGTGTTCGGGGGTGTCATCCGTTTTTCCTTCTGCCGTCGATTGCAAAACCATACCCGAACTACTTCCTTCTCCAGTTGGAGCGAATCGGCAAGTGAGGTAATTTCTTGGGCCGACGGTTTCGGCTGTTTGTGAAAATGCTGTTCTAGGGCTCCCTTCACTGACACCTCGATGCTGGTTCGCTTTTTCCGTTTCCGACCCTGGGCAGCAATCTTATCGATGCTGGTTGGCGATCCGGTGGTCGAGTCTGCCTCTTCGAGCCATTTCTGTAGCAGTGGCTTTAGCTTGCACATATTCTTAAAACTTAACTGTAGAGCCTCGAATCGACATATCGTTGTTTGGGAAAATACATTGCCATAGAGGGTACCGAGCGCTAGGCCTACGTCGGCCTGTGTAAATCCTAGCTTGATTCTTCTCTGTTTGAATTGCTTCGCAAATGCTTCCAGATCGTCGGACGTCGGAGTGTCTTCTTCGCCAGCACTCACATCCCGATCGCCTTGCAGGTGGTGGTGTGGTATGTGTAGCTGAGGCGATTCACCTCGTAACGTGTGATGCAGAGGTGGTGCACTTTGGTGATGAGCAGGATGAGCAGGATGGTGAAGCATGCCATTCATCGCATGATGGTACTGCAGTGGAGATCCTCCGGTGGCATAATGCGTTCCAGGATGCACCGGTGCATGCCAAGCATGTGGCGAAGCCATACCTTGTTGTGCTCGTTGCTGCGATAAATGCATTTCCTGCTTGACATCTGTCGCATGCGGGTGGGAATGAGGATGATGAGTGTGCAGGCCCCAAGGATCAGTCGGTTGAATCGCAGCCCATGGGTTACCACCAACACTACCTAAGCCACCCGTCACCGAGCCCAGACCGGCCGGGTTAGGACTAGGACTAGAGGGCACATGGTGGTGACTCTGGTGGTGGTGATGATGATGCATATACTTCATCTCGTTAGCATCGGCTGCACTCCGCGGTGAAGATGTATGATACCCGCCGCCCAAGGCCATATCCAGCTCGCCACTGGGAGACATGTACGTGGTGGCGGCCATCCCCACCGCTCTAGGGCTGTTAAGCCCTTCCACGCTGGCGGGGTAGGGCTCCAAATTTGGGCTCAGTTTTCCTATGTTACGAAAAATGGCTCACTAGCATAACACGCCTCAGCGGCACCGCAATGTCACTTTCAGGCGCAGCTTATCTCGCGTGGTGTTGGATGTCCCGTTCTACTTTCAAGCTTCACTCGACAACTACAAACAAAAAACGACCTGTCTTGACCGTACCCCGCAGTAACAGGTCTCCAACAGCTCTTGGTTCTTGCTGACGATCCCACGAGACACACACAAAAAATGTCGATCACGTCAAAGTAATCAAATCAGAGACTTGTTTTATTTATCTTCCTCTTCCAGCTTCCACTCAACACCCGAAAAGCCGTATGTCTGTGTCGCGCTCTCAAGTCTATCGGTGAGCCTCCGCCTGTATCGATAATTCAATTCTCCAGTGCAGCTAGAATCGATCAATCATCTCTCAGGTGTTTACTCTTTGCTAATAACTTCTCTTTTCTTCTCTCTAACTCTTTGATTTGTTTTACTGGCGCTGGAATTTTTCTGTACGTCGTTTTCTTATTTGTCTTCCTAACTCAACTTTATGTTCTTGATCACTACGCGGATGCTGCCACTGAATCCGATGCCTTTGTTGTTGTTTTTGTTGATGCTGCTGCTGCTGTTGCTACTGCGTCCCGCGAGTATACAAATTATGTAAATTTCTGTTTCTTCATTCAAGATTATTCAAATTAATTGAGGCATTTATTTGAGCTCCATTTTTTTCTGCCGGAACCCATACGGAACTCAACTTTCGTTGACGGACAAAAAACCGATCAAAACATAAACACACTTCAGCACATCGCTTGCTTTTCGATTTAGATCACTTGCTATTCTTGTTTCTTCTGTCACCGAAACACTGACAGTTCCGAATACTGCGCTCGCTGACTGTCGTTGTCACAAATTACAGGTGTTTGGGGCCGTTTCATGCGGCCACAGAACTGGCATCAACTGTGTTCCAAAACATCAGGTACGTCTATCGCTAACCTCTTCCTCGTCAGCTTTACAACTTCGCGTACTTCATCGGGTTCTCATGTGCTGTACTTCTTCCAATGTTGATACTTTTCATTATCACTCGCATGTCACACTTGGTGAAATTCGTTTCGCTAAAATATCGCCACACTTTTGTTTCACTGACATACGGGCTGCTATTTTGTATGACTATATGCAGGAGAACGTTCGCGTACACGGTCAATTTCGTAGTTCTCTTCCCAGTCGCGCACGTTTCGTTGGATAATTGTCTTACGATCGCCGAAAAACAGATTTCTCATCTGCTACGTCGTCCACCGTACTGTCATCGCGGGGTTTTCAGTTCGAGGCAAAACACTCTCCGAGCTCTCAATGAGGAAAGAAACGTTGTGTAAAATAAAAAAATAAATTAATAAATATACACGCACAATCGAGACATATACGTGCAAACGCTCCGAATCATAGAAGTTGACTAAACAATATATTCAACTATTCACCGCACTCGGTGTGGTTCCCGTGTCTCGCTCGATCATTTTTGTTGTCGCTCTTTCCACACACGTCCACACAACGAATGCCCGTGCACTCATACCAGCGTAACAAAACCGTATCCAAAAACCACCAAACGATCAGTACAGCCAGCACGTCACGCTACAGCACAAGCCTTTTCACCACACCACCACTCATGCAATCTTCAACTCACCTCACCGTCCGTACAAACTCACCTCAATTCGTTCCTCGTTCACACGTCGCATTTCATTGGTATACAGCTATATCAACACCTCTCATTCGCTATGTGGCTCCGCCTCTTCGGACATCTCTCTTCTCCCATTGCACATTCATCCAGCAGGGTGGAGCAAGCCAGCAATAGACATATTCCTGTTTCTTTCCTTCGTTGCGGAAACCCTACACCACACACCACCACATCACGCAACTTCTCCTCTTGCAGTGCTCACCACAGTAATAGTACCGTCTTCGGCTAGTGCCATCTCTGTTCGTCATTTTCACCATCTATGCTCTGTTTACTCCTGCCGGATTCCCAAGCAATCTTGTCACTTGCGAACACCAGAATGTTTGCTCAATTCTTACAATGCCCACGGTCTCTTCTTTGCGCTTTGCTTCTTCTGCTGCGGCGGCGTACGAGGTAGAATGAAGGAAGAGTGGTGAACTGGTGGTGAAATGAAGGCCCAGAAGCGAAAGAACAAAAGAAACAGTACATGCGTACAGCATTTTTACACCTACTACTACTGTGCGGCGATGGTGCGGTGTGTGCCGGCAGATTGTACGTAGCCAACCCGGAGGAAGACCGTAGAAGCAGCCTCAGTAGCAGCACCGTGTAGCGCTTCATTTTGCTTAACCTGACCGAGCCGCGAAAGAAGAAGTTCGAGAGAATGCAGCTGAGTGCCGAGCAGCAGGGAAAATCTTCATCAGTTCCAGCGGGAGGTTGTGTCATTCGATAGAATATTCTGAAATTACAGGAAGAATACGCTGTTGGTGGAATTTGGAATTACAGCGTTACAGGTGATTTTGTTCGAGCCGGTGACTAACGAGGATCAAGTGTTTTGTATGGTAAGTTTTCTGGGATGGCAGTGATTGATAAACGGTTTATAGGTTTACAATTGCGATTTAAGTGCAGCCAATATTTTAAACATTAGCTCAAGTGTTAACTTAATGCAGTGTTTAAAGTGAAAATGACAAAAGGGGTCTTCCAGTAGCTTAGCCAGTAAAAGCATGGCCTAGTATGTCGAAGGGCGAGTTCGGATCCCGGATAGATTAAGGATATTTTTGGGTTGGAAATTTTCTCGATTTGGCACACAATGCACGAATGTAAAAAATGGTTTGAACTTTCAATTATCAACTGCATTTTAGGCCTTGTTCCAATCTTTTTTTCTAATAAAACAATCAAATCATCATCAAAAAAATTAAAACGAAAATAGTGTCCCCATTCTATGAAGAAATCGGATGTGAATTATATACAAATCCTTTTTTTTTTCTATGAAGGAATGCGCTCCAAGCACTAAACCGTTTGTAGCCATAAAAAAAGAACAATTACCTATCTCCTATAGTTGAGCATATCACACGATGTTTCTGTTTCTGTTTGAAGAGTTGAGTTGAAACAAAAGTTCCAATATTAACGAACTAAATTGTATGTATAACACATCGATAAAAGTGGGATTTAGATTGTGTAAAAGAACTTAAAGGCTGTTCATAAAGGACGTACACAGCTTAAAGGGGTGTTGGCGGATGCCTAAGATCCATCCTTTCGTAGTATTTATTTACGATTTGATTTAATTAAAAACAAGGAATGTTGCATGCTGCTCACCATTCCAACAAGTCAAATTGTCAAAATCCATAAAAATGCGACATAGGGGAAATGTATGTAATGTCGGCCTAAATGTCCCTAATTTGAGCCCATACAGTTGAAAATGCGACCACTTTTTACATTGTAAGCCCATGCTAATATTTCAACATTTACTCAATGTTTATAAACCACCATTGTTTTTGAGATTGACTTACGGGTTTTATCATGCCAAAAGATTTAAATTCGATATACACAGTATGGGTGTAGCGAGCATTGAACATAGGTGTTGATTTTTCCGGTCTCACTTCCCCCAGTGTACCTTACTGGTTTCCCAGCGGTATCCGATGGGTGTAAGACGTAGACTGCCCATTTCATCCCGGAGTTAGTCCAAGTTAGGCAAATTGGGTCCTGGGAACTTCATCTGACCGATAATCCTCCAATTGATTTCGCATGATAACTTTTGCCTCATTTTCGATTCTAACTACTTCCCCGAGGATACCCAAAACAGCTTTGGTGGAAATATCAAGTTCATTCAGCGATGGTACCGATTATTTTTATGACGATGAACTGTCGGAGACTCTACAATGTTGGTGGCTCTTCTTTAAATAATCGATCGGAGGCATCCGAAATCTTAGAGTTTCATGATGGATATTTGAATAATTTATAGTAAGGTACGATCTGCACTGCTTTTACGATGCTATTTCAAAAGGCCCCTGCAAAAATGTTCAATGAGCTACGTTCAACAAAGTTTCTTTAATTTTGGCTGTGAGTTCATCAACTATTCAAGATTTTTCATAAAGGTTTTTGGTTGGTTTGAAACAGTTTTTTATAGCCCATCTTAAGAAGAAATTTACCGCTCCGAAAAAAAAATTAGGAGTTGATTTTTCTAAAAATATTGGAAAAAATATCAAAAATCTAAAACATTCACATTTTTTCTAATTTTTCAAAAAAAAAATCTCTTGCGAAAACATTTTTTATAAGTCATCATGGCAAAAAGTTTGACTCAAAAAATCACAAAACATCAACTTTTCGGTTTTGCGGAGTGTCTAATTTTTTTCATGATGATATAAAAAAAATATTTTTAAACCTTAGTTTTTCCAGAAATCTAAGAAAAATACGGGGTTTCTTGGATTGTTGATAATTTCTCCCAATATTTTTAGAAAAATAGAAACGTGTCGAAAATAAATTTTTATCCTCGGGGCGGTAAACTTCCCCTTAAACAACTATTTCATGAAGCAAAATTAAGAAATTTAGCTTAAAATTTACTCATATGTTGTCAATGCGACAATAGATCATATCATTCGAGCAGTTTAAAATGACGTTTCCTACCTTTCGAATTTTTCCTTGGAACCATATTCTGATATTTTTTCTTCTAGAATCTCGAGAAAATAGAGTCTTATTTGCGATAAGCTTGAAAAATATCAAATTGATTGTTTCATTTGCTGGAAATCACTGGTAGAAGGTCGTCCCAAAATTGCTCGAAAATATGAGTAATTCCCTAAAGCCCTGACGTTATTACACAAGGAACATCCTTTAATGATCTGCGATATTTCCATAATCACGCCCAAGATTCTCTGGCCATACGAAATGCAGATTTCAAGTTTCAACTCATAGATCTTGATTTGAACATTGACGACTCAGATCATCAGCTAGCGCACTAACGTTGCATATTCGACTGGTGATAAAATTTATTCCAAGACAAAAAGTCAAGAATATAAAAAAATTGAACCTAAATGCGCATCTTTCCATCTAAAATGTTTTAATAATTATGATTAAAAGTTCAAAAATTGAAAATCCAATTTTCAGTTCTAAATATTTTAAACATTATTTGCTCCGAGATTTGCATCAGAGTGCCAGGGTTTCGAAGATCATAATTTGTTTAAAAATGCGTAAAATATAGAAATCATCGCTTTCTGAGCTGATAAAATTAATTAAATCTAGAATTTTTTAATTGTTTAGAGTGATGCTGAAATTTTTACAATAATTTTGGAACGATGTTTTATCACGAAATTCAATTAATGATCTCCAATCAAAACAATCTTTTCTTAGTCAAGATCATTTTTACCATCAAAAGCTTCAAAAAAATTAAATCGGTTAAAATAGTAACATACCGATATACATCGTTAAGCCTTCGAAACCTATAAGCTTGAGAACAATCTGGCAACGCTGAATGCATTAGAGGTAGGATTACATTGACAAAAATCAGCATCTAAGCGCCCCT